TCTTAGTGTCGCTCCGATCCTAACAGATACATCGTATGTCATTAGTACATCAATGTGGTGAGAGTCATAGGCTGATCCTCGTGAACCACATGTGTCCGAGGCAGCTCCTAAGACAATGGCAAATGGGGCATGTATTGGTGCGGAGCATAGTGAATGTTAAAACTTTTACTTTCGTTATCAATCTATTGCTCCATATCGTAAGATCGATCATCATAGTATTGCCCAGAGAAGTGTCAACAACTATCACCATACTGCTGTTAGCCGTAAGATTCTCTATAATACAACGGCTATAAATACGATGAGCTTCTCTCTATGTCTACGTCGTGTAGGCTATGTCACATCTGCTCAAAATCATCCACCAGCTTCCCCTTCCCCTTTCGTGCATAAACTTGACCAGTATCTCGTCGAGCTCCATGATCTGAATCTTGGGTAACATGTATAAAATATTGCTCTTCAATCGATGCACCACCATTAAATTATGAAGACATGACCACTGACTCTCTAGCGTCGCCGCCATCATTGGTCGAGGCACTATTGTCCATATCGCTGCCATATCTCTGGATCGAGCGAGTTGTTGAATGTGATTACGAAGGTGTCTCGTCGCTTAACTCGATTCTTTCCAATGGTGCAGTTGATGCTATTGCCTTCCCCTTTGCCTTTGCCTTTGTACGTTGGGCGAACAACTGTGACGATTGGGTGAAATGAGTTCCAGGGGGAGGGTGGGAGGAAAGGGTTTAAAAACCCTTTTCTAAGCCTCAAACAGTCAAATTGACCATTTGAAATAGGGAAATCTTAGCCTCTGATCGATAACGATCGAAATCCGACCGGTCAGGTTGGTAACAGTCGGATTTCGAATGTTACCACCCGGTACAAACCCTGTATCGCTCGATACGAGGTCAAGTGATTGATATTGCCCGGTAGAGAGCGATCCACATACCGGTATTTTGTTGGACCGAAATGTACCGCCCGTTCCAAGTGGTACACATCGATACAACAAACCTTGGTTTTCATTACATGAATAGACAATATCATCAAATGCAAGCAACAAACTAATAGTGGAAGTGAGGTGAGGAGACAATAGATTCATCTTGTCATGGAAAAAAACATGAATCATTAGCTCAACCTACATGAGAAACAAAAAATTCTTTTCTATCACACCCTTACACACCCAAAATAAGTAGGCTTCTGACAGCATTAACCAATTCAAACATTCAAAATCAGATTCTAAAAGGGTATGAGAGGATATTTGTTTCCAAAATTCCTATAAGGACCAGCATGTTAAAATTCAGAATCATTCCTTTCTTTTCCAATATAAAGGCCCAAATCAACTATTAATTTAACTGGCTAAATCAGATCAATCAATTGTTTCAGCTTGATTTAAACTATTTAGTCAATCTAAGTCTGACCTAATGTAGTTCAGTTCAATCAACTCAACCAGGTTACAGTTGAACTTCACAAATCATATGAAACAAACTCACGGCCCCAATAAGACCCCAAAAACTTGAGTTGCACCAGGCTCTCCTACCCATTCTTCTGTCAAGTCTTTTCAGCCATTTTTACCCTCTTTAAGGTCTTTAAAAATATTAAATTTCATTAATCTCTGTGTAGACATAACATACACATAAACTACAACCATAAATCAATAAAATAACAAGTGTATATGCTTACCAACACACTAATTTTTGTCCATGTAAACACATAATTACGCCAAAGAAAGATCAGTATATGACGGTCCAAGAAAGAAAAAATATCACCTCATGAAAGTGAAATCGCCTCCTATGCTTAACAATACCTTTGGTGGCAGAGTAAAACATATCCATTAGCATGGTCTTTCCTGCATCCATCATGGATACTTCTTTAGATACAACTATCCAGAAAACCATATAGAATAACAACAAGAGCTCATAAACTGGTATACAACTAAATTCATGTAGCAGAATACTCCCAAATGCAGAATATCTTCCAAATGATCTATTATGTCAATGAAAACAACAGAAAAAGTCGTACAATGTCAATTATAAGTATAGACAACATGGAAGATGCAAAATGTTTAATTAGCCAGAACTTCTTGTTTAAAAAGCTATGAGGAATATGTTAAAAACATACCACTTCCAACATTTCCATACAAGTATAAGCCTTTTGGAGCTGTGGGTGGAACTGGTTGGACACCAACTACTGAGTCTAGCTTTTTTTCACGATTAAAATATGAGACCATCTTCCCAACACCTGGTTCTACGTTCTGTCGTCTTCTCCTCCTAAATCGACAACAGATATGAAACAACAAGCATAATTCATCAAGTTGTATTATGAACATAAGCATAAGTAGAAGACACAAAGCAAGAGCTGGAAGTTCCACAAGAGACATGCCAAAGAAGATAGAGAGAGAGGGGGAGGAGATAGAGATGCAAGAAATCCTGGAACAATATTCATGATAACTTGATGAGAAATACTATCATTCAATACTCTGTTCTTTGAAAAATTAAAGAAATGCAAGTCAGTTCCATCCCAGGAGCCTTCTTTGTACCACAGATTATGTACCAATTAGCTTTCATCCAGTATCAAACTGAATTTTTGACTTTGAAAACACAATCACAATTGTCATTTATCAGCTTAAAATAGTCAGCTGCATGGTTTGATATTCATCACTACACAAGGACAAAGTAGAAGAAAGGCATAGCTTTTATCGTATACATATGCTTATATATATTTAAAGGGGGTACCCAGTACACGAGACTCCCACCAACTCGGGGTCTAGGGTAGGTAAATGTATGCAATCTTGCCTAAATAGATGGAGAAATTAGTCCATGACTCGAATCCTAGTCAACCATGCCACAAAGGAGCAGCCTTACCGTTGTACCAAGGCCCATCCTCCCTCAAACCAATTTGTCAAATCGAATGCAGGATTGAAAGAAATTATCAAATAACTTCAAAAACCAACCAACAGAATATCATGCTACATTCAGAATTTATTTTAGGATAGTCATAACGCATCACTTTGATCATCACAAGACAACTAAATTGAGTTTTCTGATTACACACTAAAAAATCTAAACATATAATTTTACCTAGCAGTTGGTAGAATTCAAATACTCCATCGACTAAAGACCTGCATTAGCAGCTTTCCTGTTTACATTTGTCATGGTAACAGAAACAATGTGACTATGTATGCAACTTCTGCATTGCCAAGTCACTGCACATAAAAGAAACATAAGCAATGCCCACCTTGAAATCCACTTGTCGATAAAACTACTTTTATGATTCTTTGTATCTATCCATACACCATCCTTCTGTTTAAGCTCAGCTTCTTCCAATAGAAGTTTCCGCCTTTCATTCTCTCTATTCTTCTCCCAAGTTGCCAATTTAACCTGAGGATTAAGTTAAAAGATGGTATTTTACTAGTTGATCAATCAGAATACAATATATTTGGCAAGCATGCCTTAGAATGATAAATGCATAAGTACTTTACATGGTAATCCTCCATTTCCTTCTGATAACACTGTAGCTTTCCAAGTAATTCTTCAAGTTCAAAGGCAACCCTTTCCTGATAAGTATCATATTTAAGTTTTCCTTCTCTAACCATGCTCCTATAGTGAGCCAGTGGACCTTTAGATCAGTAACCACAAAAGAAAGAAAAAGAAAAAGACGACGAGTTAACAACCTTGATTTAGAAGCTATGATTAAATAAAATGTTTTTTTATAGCTTGCTTGTCAGATCTCCTACAGATACAATCACATAAAAACAAGTTATCTTAACACAAAAACATACACTCAAGCAGTTAATGAAGATGCCAACAGTATTTGACCTTGTATCTTGAAATATATGCATGATAACCATGACATAATGCAACATCAATCGTTGACCATGTATTCCTTTTTGCAATTTTGAGATTGTTACACTTCATTGTTCACATAGGCTTCAGGCTTTTGTTAATCCACCAAAACAATCTGGTGTTACAAACAACATAGCAGGTAAGGATGATTATGCAATCACCAAGTGGAAAAACCAATACATAACCAGCATTAAAAGAACTTACGAGCTCATTAGTAAAAAGGCCCCTTCTATATCTTAGTTTTAAGCAAGACAAATAACCAAACAAATTTGGTATAGATTTATCAAGAATCTTATATTGCTCTAGGATTTTGGCAACCTATTCATCACTATACTCGTTTCAAAGTTGAGATCAACTTTTCAAGGCCTAAGTTGATCCAATACAGTATGGAAGGCCATTGCATATTGAACAGGAAACTTCTACATTATGTGGAAAATATCAATTTTTTGTTTAGTCAACTTCTAGAATCTACAGGATGTTAGTCAACTTCCCACTTCATATGCGGAAAATATAATACCAATCTTTCGATGAAAATTTTGTACCTGTATTTCCAATACTAGGATATATGTCCATGTTCAAGCTTCTGGAGCAGTATCTTAAGTGTTAATTTTCCTTTACGGGAACTTTTGGAAGTCCGTAGAAGGGGATATCATTATGTAACTGTGGCATGACCATATAGCAATCTGACAAGTAAATATGTCTACGAAGGAGTTTCATGCTTCTGATTCCAGTCAGTGTGATATATATTGAAAGGCATATTAATTACCGTTTGTTGCTAATCAGAGATGGGTAGAAATTATGATGTCCGAAATCTAATCGGTTTATAAAACCCCTAAAACTCTATAGTAAACGAACGACAAAGCTGAAACGATACCTAGAAGAAAGAACAGGCTGACAAAATAGTTGAAGAACGGAAGCAAGGGGGCAAACTGGAATTTCCAAGTGTGATCCATTCATTCGAAGACCATAAAGAAATCCAAGAAACACCTAAGGGGAATTCCGATATGCAAACGTTGATCGACCAAGCAGCCATCCGAACCCTAGAAGGTTTGGGACACAAAACACCAAGTAGCCAAGAAGGTGATCGACCAAGAATGATGATGATTTCTGGGTAGCAAGGACATGTAATTGGGGGTGTGAGAGGCGAGGAAGGATGATGCTGTCGAACTCACCTGGACGCAGACACGCCGAAGTCTGCGAAGGCTCTCCGGAGAAGCAGCGAGCATTGATCAGGGGACGATGACGATCATGATTGGAAAATTCATGCGCTAAGGTACGTCGACTATGGAAGAACGCTCGGGAGAAAAGGGAAGAAGAGGAGGAGAAGAAGGCCCTCATCCCGCTTGGTATCCCGGTCGAGGTTGAGAAATCAATAGAATGCGGAAGAAAGAAGAGATCCAACCGACGCGAAGAAGCGAGGGCAAGGGGAGGAGGACGTTATGGTTGGGGTGGGTAGCGAGCAGCGTGGGCGATTCATACACGGAAACGTGTCGAGAGGACGGGGTGCGTACAGCTTCAATCGAATTGAACCTCCTCCGCACATAAAATGTGACGCAATGTGGATTGTGAATTTTAATGCACATTTTGTGAGCAAAGGCTAAAATTATTTAAATGGAACCATTTAATGGCGAATTCTTGGGAAAATTATTAATTTTAATTTTTTTTTTCAGAGTATTTCTATTTTAAAAATATTTAGATTCTTTTTTACTTTTTAAAAGATAATATTAATTTAAAAAATCACTTAGGTCCATATAATATTAAATTAAACTAGATAAAAAAATCTATTTAACTTGAATCGATACTTTTACCGTACACTATCTATATACTCCTATTTTATATTTATCAATCAACGTGACCTATATTGTATGTGATAAAAATTAAACGAAGAATATAAAAAAATAGAAATCGTAGAAGAAACTATGAAATGTATATGATGTAATTATCTAGTTCATTTTGATAGTGAGTTCTTGATGGCTATTTATATACACTCAGCATGGAGGTTATACACATTCAGCATAGAGGATTTTTCTCAACTGCTTAGAGATTTCTTCAACTACCTTGAGGAAATGATTATCAGTATATTCTTTCATCTTTGAACATTCGTTAATGATGATTCCATCATCATTGTTATAGTGTACTCCATAGCCTCCAAGTATTATCAATTTCATGTGTCACATTACGTTTAGGATCGAGTTCCACAATCGACGACACCTACTCCTTTAAGCTTCTGTTTTATCACAGCTGCAATGAGAGTTCTAAGGTTCAAGCATTTCATATTTCTAGGATTCTAAAACTATAGTGGCAGTGAATATTATTTATGATAAAGCTAAGAATTCTTTAAGATATATCTCGATTTCTATAAAAAAAATTATTAGAAAATCTAAATTTATGATTTATTGTGTAGTTAGGGGTATAGGGTTGCATTAATGTTTACTATTCTGAATAGTTTTCAGAAAACTTATTGTTTTACTACCAATATTTTAAGTATTTTCATAAAATTAAAATCTTTATCCAAAACAATGTGCTATTTTCACTTTGTTTATTTTATTTATAATAATTTATAATTCATCTATGTAATATTTTTTTATATTTGAGCTTCTAAAGAGATCCACTATGTAGAAAATTTAGCCTAAAGAAAAAATATTCTAATAGGTGGTGTACTCTTATTGGGGAAATTTTAAAAAATAGTGTATCTAATTAAACATTTATGATATTTCTATAAATATTTTAGTATCTAAATAATGTGTTATTTTTTTATTTTCTCCTTTTTATTTCTAAAAAATATAAATTATCCATGCAATGTTTTTTCACATTTGAGCTTCTAAATAAGTCTGCAATATATGTAGAAAAGTTGGTCTAGAAAAAATTCTTTTCTAATAGGTGTTGCATTGTTATTAAGAAAAAAATTGAAAATAGTGCATCGCATAGATGCACTTTTTAAAATGATCTCAAATTTTTACAAAAGCTTTGAATATGACACTTATAGGCATATGTTACTGGATTTTTAATTTTAGAGATTTTTTTTTATATTTCTATTTTTTTTTAAGTATCTGAATAATGTGTCATTTTTTATGTTCTTCTCGATTTTTCTATTTTTAACAAAGTATAATGCATCCATGCAATGTTTTTTCACATTTGAGTTTTTAAATAGGTCAACAATATATGTAAAAAATTTGATATAAAAAAATTCTAATAGTGATGTATTATTATTTTTGAGAAAAAATAAAAAATAGTGCATTGCTTTGAATAGGACACTTATGGACATATGTGACTGGTTTTATTCTTTTATAGATTTTTTAGCATATAAACAGTGTGTAATTTTCTATTTGCTCCTTTTTTTTCAGTTAGATAATTTTTAATTGAATTATTAACTCCAATCCTTTTGGCTTTAGATAAGAAATAATCATATCATTAAACAATTATTTTGTGTAGGATGTCCAAAGTCAACTGCAAAAATGTTGATTTAAGCATAGATATTCCTATTTAATTTTTATTTAATTATCATAGATCATGTTTTATGTTTTATCTTTACTTGTGGATCGAATCATTCTAATGATGAAGAGGGATCGAAAAGTCATTCTAGTTTGATAGTTTCAAGACGAAACTTTATGGATTATTTTCACACTTTTTATGGAACCTACTAAGCATAGTCGAGCAAGATTAGTCTCATTATCATAAATATAGTGTCACTTAAATATTATAAGAAGTACTATATCCGATAATTTCATGAATATCCCTTATATTCTTTGTATATTAATATTAGTAATTATGGAATGATGGTGTAAGAATAATAAGTTTTTAGTGAATGGAATGAAATTATCTTTTTTCTGTATCTAATGTATATCTTCTACTTAATCTATCCAATAGAAATTATTGATTGGAAGGCATTTAGATCCAAATGGTATCTTACATATAAATATTTTTTATTTAAAGGATCAACCCATAAGGATTTGAAAGGTTGATGGTAAATTTGCATCTAAATAATGATGAGGAAGTGGTGAACTTTTATCATGTGTTATATATTTTTGCCTGCATATTATTTTGTTAAAGCAATTATAGATTACAGTGATCCTTAATATCAAACATTGATGATTTAAAAATTTTGAATAAATATAATTGGCCAACAACAATTCATTCATTTATTTCTAAGAGGATTCCAATAGTGACAGAGAAAATACAGATTCAAGAGAAATGAGATTTCAACTATCGGTTATTTGAAAAGTTGCTTACCCATATTACCAATAACTTATGTATAGGTATATAGTTTATAAATTACTATATCTTATTTTTTTATATATATAATATGATTTGATCGTCACATGTATTTGATATTTGATATGGGTGATTTTATAAGTATGTCCCATGCTTTGTAGAATATTCAAGATTATGGAAATGACCTATTCCCACGTTGTCTTGGAAAGCAATTAATAAAATGATAGCAATAATATCATCTAATAAAATAATTATTTTATTTTGGAATCAAGTTTAGATTTATTATTGTAGCTTCTTTTGCAAAACTATACTAATAATCACTTTTAATTATTTGTATATCATTAAAGAGTTAAATCTTTTACCATGTGAGGCATGGTTATATTCTTAGGAGGTACCAGATGTTTGAGGTACTATTAATTTAGGTATCAATAATTAAGGCATGGTATGCAGTACTGAATGGTACCACCCGGTATGGGCGGTACGTACTAGTTCGACGGTATATCAGTACGTAGACCGTTCGATATCACTATAGTGCTGTAGTATTACACTGTAGAAGTGCTATAGTGCTATACTGTAGTAGTGCTATAGTGTTATAGTGCTATAGTAATGAAGAAAATATATAAAATTGTTCGATATACCAGGATGTACCGCTTGGTACACCGGTACCGTATCGTACCGACCCAACATCAAAATATCGGTACGATACAATATTGCATATCTTGAATTAAGGTACCAGCAACTAAGGAGCCACGACCTATTAAAGGATCATGCACTATTGAGATATATTTTTCATTATATAGCAAGTAACCCAAACCTATAATATATGTATCGATGATGTCGGAAAAGAACAACCGAAGCCACATACGAACTCAACAATCTAAATACAAAAGTTGTGAGACATGTCTTGAAACACTTAGGAGGTAAATGATGTTAGTACAAGGACATGATTTGACTGTTACAGTTCATAAAATAGTACCCAAGCATCTAAAAAAACATTTATATCAACAATACAAATATGCGATCTACAAACCTATACTAGCAAAATAGTATACACGTAATTCCTATGAAATGAGAAGTCATAGGAAGAAGAAAGAGAAGGAGAGCTGCTGTGAAAAAGGAGACATTGAAGATGAAAGTCCAGAAGAAATTAGAAAAAAGATAAGGAGGTGGACCCAAAAGAATTTGTGGATCTTCTCCAAGCTAAAGGTACAAGTGAAGGTCAAACCTCGAAGGAGATGACTATCATATTGAAAGTAATTTTTTAATAGATTTTATAAGATACCAAAAGCACAAGTGAAGCTTAAAATTCAAGAATAGTGCATCGTACAAGAGGACTAATCTAAATGACCTAAAATTTTTAGTAAATATTAGTATTGGACCTAGATGGACATATGCCACTAGTTTTTTATTTTAGGAAATTTATTTATTATTTTTATGAAATATTCAGCTTGTGAACTATGCATCATTTTTTATTTTTGTCCAACTTTTTGTATTTTCACATAAATATTATAGATCCATGCAATGTTTTTGACATTTGAGCTTCTAAGTTAGTTGAAAGTACTTGTTATAAATTTAGGCTAGAGAAAATATTTTCTAATATGTGATGTATTATTTTTACTCAAAATCTAAAAAAAATATATCGCATAGAAGGACTAGTTCAATTGACCTAAAATTTTAGGAAAGAATTACATTGGATCTAGATGGACACATATCACTAGTATTCTATTTTAAAAAAATTATTTGATATTTCTATGAAATATTTAGCTTGTTAAATGAGTGTTTTTTTTCTATTTTTAGCCAACTTTTTCTCACTTCTACATAAATATCATAAATCGATGTAATATTTTTTGATATTTGAGCTTTAAATTGATATAAAATCCCTGATAAAAATTTAGACCGAAGAAAATATTTCCTAATATATGATGCACTATATCTGCCCAAATCCAAAAAATATAGAAGGACTCATTCAATAGCCATGAAAATTTTAGGAAAGGCTTCAATTGGACCCAATTAACAAATATCACTGGTTTTTTATTTTAATTTTTTTTATGAATTATTCAGATTGTGAACTATGTATCATTTTTTTTTTTATCAACATTTTCCCATATGGGCATATATCCATGATATTAGTAGGACTGATCTAAAAGATATGAAATTTTTAGAAAAGGTCTACATTGGACCTTGATAGATTGGTTTTTCATTTTAGAAAATTTATTTGATATATTTATGAATTATTCATCTTATGAACTATATGTCATTTTTTATTTTTGACCAATTGTTTTCTATTTCCACATAAATATCATGGATCAATACAATATTTTCTAACATTTGAACTTCTAAATTGGTTCAAACCATATGGTAAAAATTTAGGTCAGAGAAAATAATTCTTAATATGTGATACACTTTGTTCTCCAAAACATAAATCACATAGAAGGACCAATCCAAATGACTTGAAATTTTTACAAAAGGTTTTCATTGGATCCAGATTGACATGTCATTCTATTTTAGATTTTTTTTGATATTTTTGTTAGGAACAGAGGTCGGCACTAAGAGGGGGGTTGAATTAGTGTAGTGGTAAAATACGTCCATTCTGAAAATTTTTTCGTTCGTTGAAAACAAATCTCGGAAAGATAGCTTGAAAGTGTACAAAAAAAACGTAATGGATGTAAAGCAAGTAAGGAGGTTTGCAGTTAAAATAAATTGCACAAATAAAACGGAAACCAGATTTTTATAGTGGTTCAATCGCCGTGACCTATATCTACTCTACCGATTCCTCTTCCGTCGAGGCCACCGGCATCCACTATTGGTCTTCCTTCAATAGGCGAAGATCAACCACCTTTTATACCCCTTTTCTCCTTTTCCTGGGTTTAAGAGAGAACCCTTACAAGTCTCACACCTCTTTTGAATGATCTCAAAACTTGGAAAGGGAGGAGGAGGATTCTGGCACTTGTTTACAACACTTTTACACCCCAACAACTCCAGATTATCTTAATGCTTTCGTGCCCTTTTATGCAGAAAAGGATAGGATTTTTATAGGCTCTAATGGATTCAAAATTGGAGCCTAAAAATGTCTTATCCCTGGATTTCGGGGTACTAGCGGTACCACTGCCCATACTGGGCAGTACCACCGCTTGTCACCTGACATTGGGCGGTACCACCACCCATACTGGGCAGTACCACCGCCCAGACCACCTAGGAGACCGAGTCTCCTAGGCGGTGCCACCGCCGGCTAGGCTTTCAAGTGCTGAATGGGCTGCTCAATCCGACCAATTTCAGCCCTATTAAGGGCCCAATTAGCCCCTAATTAAGTTAGTGGGATTACCTCCCAATCCTAATTTAAACTATGTGCTAACTACAATAACTAAAACATAATCATAGCACTTATTGTTTCGGTGTTTCAATTGCTCTTCGGATGAGCTTTCGGCGAACTTCTGGCGAACATCCGACGAACTCTCAGCAATATTCCGATGGACTCCCGGCAAGCTCCTGGACTTTATGACGATCTTCTTGGCAAGTTTTGGTGAGCTTCTTTGGCAAGCTTCTGGACTTCTCGGTTGGTTCTGGTAGAACTTTCGACGAACGTCCGGACTTCCGACGAACGTCCGGACTTTCGACGAACTCTTGAACTCCCAATGAGATCTTGATCGTGACTCCGACATAACACTTGTTTTATGTCTTACTACTATTGTAGTTAATATTGCACATGTAAAATACACTTCGATCTAGATAATTAATACTAAGCATGAATCATGTTGTCCGGCATGTTATTGGTCCATTGACGCTTCGTCCGATTCTTCGGTGCATCGTCCTCTCTTGTGGCCTATTGCTCAATCGGTCACTTGACTCTGCAACTCCGATATCCTTGGCTCAATATCCGCTCTTCTTGGCCCGATACTCGAATCCATGGCCCGAAATCTTATGTCGATACGTCGACCAATCCTTTGGCCCGACGTCCTATCATCTGATATGTTTTCTTCCGGCCGAACATAATTCTTCGTGTTTTAATTGTCTCGTCCTGATCGAAGCATCCCGCGTCACTAAAAACGCAGATCAAATCGTAAACACTTATCAATTGGTTTCATCATCAAAATACGAGATTCAACAATTTTAAGAATTATTTAGCTTGTGAACTATGTATCATTTTCTATTTTTACCTTTTCTTTATTTTTATAGAAATATCATTGATCCATATAATGTATTTTGACATTTAAACATCTAAATTGGTCAAAAATACATAATAAAAATTTTGACCAAAAATAATTTTGTAATATGTGATGTATTATTTTTGTCTAAAATCCAAAAAATAGTATATCGTATATTAAAAATTATTTTCTCTGGCCCAATTTTTTACTAGATGTTTTAGACGCTTATTTAGAAGCTTAAATATTAGAAAACATTACATGGATCCATGATATTCTTATAAAAATATAAAAAAAATTGTCTAGAAGTAGAAATGGCACATATTTCATAAGTTGAATAATTTCAATTGATGGAATGGATTTATATTTATATTTTATTTTTGACCAACTTTTTTTATTTCTACAAAAATATCATGGATCTGTAATATTTTTTGATATTTGAGTTTCTAAATTAATCCAAAATACTTGTTAATAATTTGAGCCAAAGAACTCAACCCTAAAAGTCAATCTCAAATTTATTGAGTTTTTTCAACATGTAAAATAGAGTATGCATTGTAAAACAATGAATCTACTAAAACTTATAATTCCAATATAACTTACATCAACCAAATAGTTAGAACAAATTAAAGCATATTATATTACAAATGTATAAGTCACTGAAAGTAAGTTTTCACTAAACCACTTCAAAATTACAATAAGTTGTTGCAACCAAAATTTCTATCTAAATGTCATTGCCTTCAAGCTGATGATACAGGTGAAAATTTACACAAATGATGATTATGTCCAAATTGTTAGCATCTTGGACACTAATTCTTTTTCCTGTCACTATATGTTGATCTAATTTTTGATTTGTTTCTTCTACCAACCTACACCATGCTTCTTGGAGGTGATATGATATAATCATATTCTTGTCATATTCAATATTATTTGTTTCTCATAAAGAAATAGTTTATCATTATAGGTCTTCTTATATATGTCACCTCTATAATAATTTTTACAAAATCAATATGGATTATCATTCCTACACCTAATAGCATGAGAACATAGAATTTCCAAAACTTACTATCACTGTCTAAGAGGATGTCTACACTTGTAATTTAGTTTGAGTACGAGGAAAGACACCATCCTTGTTTTTGGCATTAGCAAGTTGACCCTTTTATGATACTTATCAAAGTTGATTTTAAATTATTAGCTATTTCATGATGATGCAGAATCATTCAACAATCTTCCTCCTAGTCATTTCAATCATAAAAGTAATAGATAAGTCACGAATATTTTTCAATAATGAATTCATACTTTTTAATATATTTGTAATGAGTATTGTATAAAGCGGAAAATATGTAAAAGCTCATCTCTCATTCTCAATTTTAGATATCCACAGGAAATTTTATTTATGATTTTTTCTTAATTTTTGCATGTATTTATTAAACTTGAAGGATCTAGTAATAACCATGCAATGACCATGTTATACTACCGAGAATGCCTTTCATACATAAAAGAATTTTTAGATTTTGATGACCGATAATAGTCAAAATTTTGCATCCCATAATATATATTATGAATTGATGCAAGAACTATTGCCATGAATCTCTACACTCAATTTCTATTACACCTAATGCAATTGAAAATAATATATTACAACCATCATATAGGCATCATCCAAGCACTAAAATATTTGCCTGATAGATGTGCAACATCAATATTAAAAATAAGTCGCATATATAATCTGAAACTTCTAAGATTAGTTCTAAAAACATAAATATTCTTTGAAAATAATTTTTAGATAAAATTATTATTTAGATGCGAGTCTCATAGTCATATAGTTTTAACTCCCTTATAAAAGAAACTATATCAGCATATATGACTTGTCAAAATCACCATGAACTTCATTAAGTGTAATTGTCAAAATCACCATGAACTTCAACAATAATAATTTTTGGAGTATAATCAATATTTGTCATGACTTGATCTTTGATTTGATCCGTAGAAAAAATTACTACGTTTCTTATGATCTCTATTTAATCTTGACAAATTACAATCATGCTGTTTATAAAACTTGATAATTTAAAAACAATCAATTCCACCACGAGCTACTATCAACCATTAGCAATTGAAAATTTTACATTTTATTTTTATCTTATAACTTCTAGTTGCAACATGTTTAATCTCAAATTTTTCTTCAAATACCATAGTCTTTCAAGACTTTTTGAAATCTATTTTATCTCGAAACACCGGTACAAATATTATTTGGGTTACAAAATAATATATATTAAAAAAATAATAAAATAATTTTAATATCATTCAAATATTATACCAAGATCAACAAACATAACTGCAGGAACAAGAGTGTTTAGCAACACACTATATTTGTTCAACAATATCATACATATCCTCACAATAACTCACCAATCAATATCTAATGTATTATAAATATTAAGATTTATGTCACCTTCAACCTTTTCTTATAATCTTTCTTCAACAAATTCATTTTCGAAGATAATCACCACTATTATCATCTTCAGCACAATAAAACAAGTCATTCAAATCTAAGGAAAAAATCACAAAACCTCAACTATTTAGCAAATTATTTTTATGATGTCTCACCTAATGTCTATCTATCGATGTCAAGAGTTGAAAGATACTTCATCAAAATTAGAATCCTCCCATTAGAATTAAAAATATTATATTTTATAGTAAACCATCTAAAATATTATATTTTAAAGTTCAAATTTTTTTCAAAGATTCATCCAACATTTAATACAATCGATTACATCTGATACTTGCGAAAATTCCTTAAGATCAGGTACAATCCATAATGTTATGCCTCCAACTCAAAACATGCAGTATGACAGATAGGAGGGAGCTAAGCTACTACTTCCGAGCATCTAGAGGATGATAAACATTCAATCATTCGTGAGAAGCCAGATTCTAAGTAAAAGAACATGTAAACAGCTTAACAATCAATCATATTTATCGCAACCAAATCCTGATGACGCATCTTAATAGAGTAAAATACTACTCATCACCTTAGAAAAACAAAGGTGAAGTTCGATCAAAAAGTCAATTTAGAGCATCACAAGGCTATTTCTTCTCCCGAGAACAAAACAAAGCATCTGTTCTTCATGGAGCCTTCAAGCAGTTCAGAAAAGCATCCTACGCCACGACAGTGCTCGCAGTCTTGGCATCACTGCACAAAGCAGTGAGGCGAACGTCAGTAGAAAATCAATGATCTATACAAGAATAATTACAAGAACACATGCGTTCATGTAAAAGCCTAAAGTGGACATATAGAAAAAAAAAATGCTGTACTTCTCCTATGATAATAAGTTGGCTCAAGCTTTTCAGGAAAATTTAGTTCCATATTACACAAGATGGAAGAGAAAACAATTCAATATTCATCCGAGCCTAAAGGCAAGAACATTGTTTTTCATGCACCCTTGTAAGGATTTCAAAACCATACTGACATGTTTTACTTTAAAGTGTGAGACTGGAATGCTAGATGACAGGTTGACATATCTTAAATACAATGTTTATATCCAAAGCAAAATATCCATAAAAGCATTTTCTCGTTAGACCCAAAGATTGTTATACTGCGTACAAGAGGCATACCAATCTCCTTTTGAAACACTAGGCTTCTGCTGTAAACTATCAATACCGTAAAGCATGACATGATTTATTGGACTGGCTAAGTGTGTTGCATCAGCGGTATACAAATTCTTCTCAATGGTTCTGAATGATAGCATATGTATGATGCTTCTGTTAAAAAATATTGTCACAATTTGACTATCATATATATTATTTAGGAGAAATAGCATATTATATGTCAACCAAAAATATATAATTTAGTAAGTCCACAACTAAATTGAAGTTCTCACAGATCTAAAAGAATAATTACAAAACATGTTAATACAAGAAATAGCATACGTTTTTCACCCCTCAGGCTTCAATTTTTTGCAGAAATAAACATATTAAGTAGATAGAATTGGAGACAATGTCTCATTAAATGAAAATATGATAAATATAATAGAATGCAAAAGATCAATCTCCAAATAAAAAAATAAAAGGATTTGCATATACATATAAAAGCTAATATCACCAATCCATATATTAAAGATGAAGGTTTGACAAAAAAGTGAGGTTCATAAGATCTAAATGAATTTTTTTATTCTTTTTCCTCGCTGAATTTGAAGTCTATGCCCAAAGTTTTTAATTCCCTACCCTAATTTTACTCTTCTCCCTTCTCTCCTTACTCCTCTACAGAGTAAGGATGTCGTCTCTTTTAAAAAAATCAAACATATTTCTTCAGATGAATTTACTGATTCTCGTGTCATTAATCAACCTAACTTAGCAACTAATTTGCTCATGGAAAAATTAGGCAAACTTGAGATAATATTTCATTGTATATTCTAGAATAAACAAACATAGAGGCCCATCATGAGGATAAGCTTGCCCACAGAGTCACCAAAAAATAAAACAGGGAAGGACAAATTTAGAGTTTTCTCATGCAAATTCAGTTACTGAACTTGGTATAATTTTACTGGTTCACCCGCCTCTATCGCTAGAGCAATCCCTCAAGACTCAAAAGGTGTGCTAAAATCTTAATCCTTTTCCTTCCTCTTACCGTAATGAACTATTACATCTAGTCACTCAGCTATTCTTCCCACTGTAAATAAAAAGGACACTGAGCCAAGAAACATAATTAGAGTCGACTTCAGAGTAGCTTACATGAAGTAACGTATTTAAAACATGAAACATCTGAGTATTAAATTTAAGAGATATAAGCAGCTATAGAATACTTTCATTATCCACGTAAGGCCAAACACCAATTTTGACAGTATAATTTGAAAAGCTAGTGCATATATAAACATGCAAAAAGATGAATAATGATAATAGTTCTCTAATAATGTATATCATAGTGAACATAACGTAGTATCAAATATCATAATTTGCTAAAAAAAGCTCCTAAGATTTAATTTTCAATGTCAAAGTTGACCAGATATGAACCAAAAACCTGGACAACATTTCTGCAATTCCTTACTTCCAGCATATACAAGCAATAGTCCAATTTGAGAGTGCTACTTGTTACTCTAGGTGTATACACTATGGATTGCTACAACCTGGAAACATTTAGCACCTTACATTCGTGACAAGAAGTCCAAAAAAAAGTAAGATTTCGGGAAAAATTCTCCATTCTTTGTAATATTAAGTTGTAATTATATAAAAGCATATAACAAAGTGGTAAGATCAACTCACTATTTCCAGGTTGGGTCGACCTTCTTGGTCCTCTTGTAGTATCGGGTCAAGCGGTGGATCCTGCTCTCCACCATGATTAGTCTGAACTTGGAGTCTTTGTCCTTCCTGTTCCTCTCCAAGTGTTTCCTTATGGCCACTGCTTTCTTAATCATGCAGTACAGATCCTCCGGAGTACCCGGTTGAAGACCTTCATCACATCAAAACATAAATCACAAACAATTCATGACAGCAACAAATATAACATATCGAACGTACAAATTAATCCTCCGAAGAGGAAGAAAACAAACACATCGCTAATATAGAAATTAATAAATACCATGAGCCTTGAGGATCCTGAGGATCTTGCTCCCGGTGATGCTCTTGACCTGGGCGATGCCGTGAGAATCACGAAGAACGACACCAATCTGCGACGGACTCAGCCCCTTTCTCGCAAACTTGCAGATGTTGTCCTCCACCTGGGAAAGAGATCACGCGCATCGACAGGCTTTAGAAGACGATCCCAATAGAAGGTACAACGAGAGGGAGATGGCTCACATCTGCAGCGGATATCTTAAGCCAACTCGGAGGAGTTCTCTTGTACGGCAGCGCCGACGATGAGATACCCTTTCTGCGGCAGAAATAATGGAAGATTAGAAGACGAAAAACAAGCGAAGGGGATGGGATGTGGTGCAACGAATTAGATTACCCGCGACTGTGCATGCGACCCATGGCGACGGCAGCGTGGGGCAACGAGAGAGATGCCCTGGTTCGAAGACGAAAACCTCTGATGGCCGGTAGAAATAGGGTGGCTAGGGTTTCTAGCGCTTCAGCCTGTAGCGCTCGTACGTAGAGGATCAGTGGTGGTGGAGGGTTTCGATTTACCAGAAATGCCCTCGAATCCCATCGCTAGCGCTTGATCACGATCAGACGGATGTGATCCAAGTATGATGAATGGTTGAGATCGAGGTGACGTGTTTGTGCCTCGTTTGATGCCGGATGTTTTATCGTACAATAAAATTACAATAATATTATTCTTAGAAAAAAAGAGAGAGTTTACCATCAATATACTCAATAGGCTAAAACCAAATTTTGAGTAGAGGTCATGGTGTTCTTAATCAAAACTTTATAGCCAAATCACATGCGCATAATGACGTAAGAAGGATTATTTGCGTACACATCAATATCACATAATCGACATCATAAACATATTATATGATTAACATCTCGATATCACGATCTCGATATCACGTAACAAATACCTCATCGTTATTGTTAGGATCAAGAGCACTAAGAAGGGGGGGGGGGTGAATTAGTGCAGCGGAAATCTTACAACGATAAAGCACGTTCGAAAGATAAAAATGATTTCGGTATAAAAGCTGATTCTAAGATTACTTTAACTTAAGATCAAGCGAGATGATGTTAAAATCAATCTATGAAGGCAGTTTGCAGTTATGATGAAAACCAGAGTGTAAGTGCAAACTGAAATACGACGTTCATACGAAGAAGCTGATTTACGTCTAAATGCTGATTCGTAAATCACTTCATTAGGTGAGATACAGTTTAAGCAAGTATATAAAGGCAGTTTGCAGTTATGATTGAAATCAAAACGTAAATACAAACTGAAATATGATGATCGTACGAAAAAATAGATTTACGTCTAAACGTTGATTCGAAAGTGCAAAGCTTGAAACCCGATCGTATATGTGCAGAAAGCAGTAAGCTTTAGAGGAGGTTTGCAGTAAAGATAATATGCTCAAAGTAAATGTAAACCAAGATTTAGAGTGGTTCGGTCAATCTTGACCTACTCCACTTTTGGCTTCCTCCACCAACGAGGTCACCGACGTCAACTAGAGGCCTTCCTTCAATAGGCGAAGGCCAACCACCCTTTTATAGTTTCACTCCTTTTGACGGGCTTATGAGATAACCCTTACAGAATTTTCTCTCCTCTCTTTATAACTCAGAACTTGGAAGAACAGAGGGAGAAGAACTTTTGGCCTTTACAACAATTTTGTGCTCTAAGAATCACAGAAAAAGATCAAGATTTCGGTGTTAGTTCATTGCTCTTTCAGTGCTGAATGGGTGGGGTATTTATAGGCCCCAACCCAGTTCAAATTTGGAGCTCAAAACTGTCAATTCCCGGAATTCCGGGATCAGGCGGTTGCACCTCCTGACTGGAGCGGTTGCACCGCCTGGCAGAGCTCGAAGACTGAGCCTCTGGACGGTGCTACCTCCTGTCAAGGGCGGTTGAACCTCCTGACAGAGCTCGAAGACCGAGCTCAAGCGGTTGCACCTCCTGACTGAGGCGGTTGCACTGCCTGGCAGAGCTCGAAGACCGAGCTCAAGCGGTGCCACCTCCTGTCAGGGGAAGTTGCACCGCCCAGTCTCGCTCGGAGACTGAGCCCCAAGCGGTGCCACCGCCTGGCTGGAGCGGTTGCACCTCCCAGTCTCGCTCGGAGACTGAGCCCAAACGGTGCAACCTCCTGCCTTGGGCGGTTCAACCGCTTGGCAGAAATCAGGGTCCGAATGGGTTGATCCATTCAGCCCAATTTGAGTTTTTCAGGGGCCCAATTGCCCCAAGATTAAGTTAATGGGATCACCTCCCATTTCCAACTTAATCATTGTGCTAACTATGATTTTTACTAAGACATTTACTGCAACTTGCTCCGATGCGTCAATCGCTTCTTCCAACGAGCTTCCGACGAACTTCCGTCGATCATCTGATGATCCCTCGGTGATGCTCCTGCGGACTTCCGACAAACTCCTAAACTTGCGACGATTCACTTGGCGAGTTCCGACGAGCTTCTTTGGCAAGCTTATGGACTTCTCGGATTTGTTCCCGCAGAACCTCCGACGACTGTCCGAACTTCCGTCAAACTCTCGAACTCCCAACATGATCATTGTCTTGACTCCGGCGCAACTCCTGCTGCATGTCTTACTTTCATCGTAGTTAATCCTGCACACTTATCTCAACATATAGATTAGATAACAAATAACAATTGACTTCATCATCAAAATCCGAGATTCAACAATCTCCCACTTTTTGATGATGACAATCAATTGATAATGGAGTTAACCTTAACTCCCCCTGTCTATATGCCATACTTAAGATAAGTTATTCTTGAATTCAAAACCTAAGAATTCAAGAGACATATTGATAAGTTAAAATCATTTGAACTAATCAATACTCCCATCATGATTTCCATCATGATGTATCTCTCTGAAGATGATGTCAAGGTTTGACATTCATTTTCAAATATAATAAGTTTGAATGATGGTAATAGTAGCAATTCATCATATTGTAAGATATCAACATGTAAAGCCGCGAAGTAAGATTTTGATATCATTACATGATGTACACATTTCAAATATTGTAGCAAGTATTGCATTTCATCATATGGTAAGATATCAACTCGTAGAATTTCGATGCAAGTTTTTGTTTGATATCTTGACACGATACAAATCATAGCATCTGTTCATATATCTCTTGGTGATGCAAGCATGGCATAATCATAGCATCAGTGTTTATAGTATCAATTCATATATTTCTCTTGGTGATGCAAGCATGGCATAATCATAGCATTAGTGTTTATAGTATCAATTCATATATTTCTCCCCCTTTGTCATCAACAAAAAGCATGGTAGTTGTGATACCAGGGGAACAATATAAGCAAATTATCAAGCATATAAAGGAAGGCATGATATGTAGATTGCTTTGAATACTTCTTCCTTTTTTTTTTGTTATAATCTTTTTG